TCAGAAGGATCAACAAATCCTCAGTCATCTGCTGAATTCTCTCTCAAAAGAGATTCTCGCACAGGTTATTAGTAAGGAAAATACTTATGATCTATGGACTGCAATTACCACAATCTTTGCATCGCACTCACAATCTCGCACCACAAACCTGTGGATCGCCATCACCACCACAAAGAAGGGCACGATGTCAAGCTCCTTCTACATCGCCAAGATGAAGAATCTCGGGGATGAACTTGCAGCAGCAGGTCGCCCAGTTTCAGACCCCGAGATGGTGGACTATGTACTCGGAGGTCTCGATCGCGACTACGATCCCATGGTGGCTGCCATCGGCACTGTCACGACGTCCATCACAGTTGACGAGCTCTTTGTCCAAATCTCCGCCTTTGACCAAAGGGTGGAGATGTTGGGTGATGGGGCAGAAGCCGCCGACTTCAACTCTTCAGCAAATTTGGCATACAGGGGCCGTGGGCGCAGCAACAGAGGCCGCGGCCGAGGCAACATGGGGCGCGGTAGAGGAAGGCGTCCTCCCACGACTTCTGGATCGGGCGCCAACAATAGCAGAAGCTATCGAGGACATCCACAACAGCAACAACGTCCCGAGTGCCAAATCTGCTACAATTTTCATGCAGGAGGTGCTCGTGCATGTTGGGATCGCTACGAGGAAGATGACTATGAGGAAAAGGAAGCAAATGCTGTCACCAATAGCTATGGCATCGACACCAACTGTTATGCAGATACCGGAGCAACAAACCATATCACGGGAGAGCTGGACAAGCTAACCATCAGGGACAAGTACCATGGAGCGGATCAAGTTCACACCGCAAGCGGTTCTGGTATGAAAATTACTCATGTTGGTCGTTTAGTTGTCAAAACTCCCATGAAAAATTTGCATCTAAATAGGGTCCTTTATGTTCCAGAAAGTTCAAAAAATCTTCTCTCCGTTCATAGGTTTACTCTTGATAATCGTGTTCTCATTGAATTTTATCCTTACTTCTTTTTGGTTAAGGACTTGGACATGAGGAGAATCCTTCTTAGGGGCAAGTGTGTGGGAGGTCTTTACCCACTCATATCATCATCGTCGTCGTCATCGTCAAATAAGCAAGCCTTTGTCGCCATCAAGCCATCTTCTGCAAAGTGGCATAGTCGATTAGGTCATTCTTCATCAGTTATTGTTAAAATTGTTCTTAGCAAAAATAAGCTTCCCCATGAGTATAGCATTGATTCAGTTTGTGATCCATGTCAGCAAGCTAAAAGTCATCAAGCTAAAAGTCATCAGCTACCATATCCTATTTCTACCAGTATCTCTACTGCACCCTTACAACTTGTATTCTCAGATGTTTGGGGGCCATCTCCTGTTTCAGTTGGTATACACTTATATTATGTAAGCTTTATTGATGACTATAGCAAATTTACTTGGATTTATCTTCTTAAGAAACGTTCTGAAGTGTTTCAAGTTTTCAAGAATTTTCAAAATCTTGTTGAAAGACAATTAAACACTAAGACCATTTCCATGTGATAACCCACAAGTGTAGGGGATCGCAACAACTTTCGAGGGTAAAGTATTCAACCCAAATTTATTGATTCGACACAAGGGGAGCCAAAGAATATTCTTGAGTATTAGCAGTTGAGTTGTCAATTCAACCACACTTGGATAACTTAGTATCTGCAGCAAAGTATTTAGTAGCAAAGTAGTATGATAATAAAGGTAACAGTGCAAAAATAATATTTTGGGGTTTTTTAGTGATTGTAACAGTAGCAACGGAAAAGTAAATAAGCAAGGCACAAGATGTGAAAATCTCGTAGGCAATGGATCAGTGATGGATAATTATGTCGGATGCGATTCCTCATGTAATAGCTATAACATAGGGTGACACAGGACTAGCTCCAGTTCATCAATGTAATGTAGGCATGTAATCCATAAATAGTCATACGTGCTTATGGAAAAGAGCTTGTATGACATCTTTTGTCCTACCCTCCCGTGGCAGCGGGGTCCTAGCAGAAACTAAGGGATATTAAGGCCTCCTTTTAATAGAGAACCGGAACAAAGCATTAGCACATAGTGACTACATGAACTCCTCAAACTATGGTCATCACCGAGAAGTATCCCGATTATTGTCACTTCGGGGTTGTCGGATCATAACACATAATAGGTGACTATAGACTTGCAAGATAGGATCAATAACACACATATATTCATGAAAACATAATAGGTTCAGATCTGAAATCATGGCAGTCGGGCCCTAGTGACAAGCATTAAGCATAGCAAAGTCATAGAAACATCAATCTCAGAACATAGTGGATACTAGGGATCAAACCCTAACAAAACTAACTTGATTACATGGTAAATCTCATCCAACCCATCACCGTCCAGCAAGCCTACGATGGAATTACTCACGCACGGCGGTGAGCATCATGAAATTGGTGATGGAGGATGGTTGATGATGACGACGGCGACGAATCCCCATCTCTGGAGCCCCGAACGAACTCCAGATCATCCCCCCCGAGAGAGATTAGGGCTTGGCGGCGGCTCTGTATCGTAAAACGTGATGAAACTTTCTCCCTGATTTTTTTCTCCCCGAACGTGAATATATGGAGTTGGAGTTGAGGTCGGTGGAGGTCCAGGGGGCCCACAAGACAGGGGGGCGCGCCCAGGGGGAGGGGGCATGCCTCCCACCCTCGTGGACAGGGTGTGGGCCCCCTGGTCTTGATTCTTTCGCCAGTATTTTTATATTTTCCAAAAAGTGCCTCCGTGGATTTTCAGGACATTCCGAGAACTTTTGTTTTCTATACATAAAACAACATCATGGCAGTTCTGCTGAAAACAACGTCAGTCTGGATTAGTTTCATTCAAATCATGCAAGTTAGAGTCCAAAATAAGGGCAAAAGTGTTTGGAAAAGTAGATACGTTGGAGACGTATCAACTCCCCCAAGCTTAAACCTTTGCTTGTCCTCAAGCAATTCAGCTGATAAACTGAAAGTGATAAAGAAAAACTTTTACAAACTCTGTTTGCTCTTGTTGTTGTAAACATGCAAAGCCATCATTCAGGTTTCAACAAATATTATGAACTAACCATACTCATAATAACACCCAGGTCTCACAGTTACTCATATCAATAGCATAATCAGCTAGCGAGCAATTGAACATATAAATTCAGCTACACTACCCGCCATCCTGAGCTGCCTGCATCGCGTGGTAGTTCTGGTTCGTTCGATTCACCACGAAATGTACTTTTTACGGTGGTGGAAAAGGCCCAGCCGTCCGTCCTTCTTTACATCATCATTTTGCTCTATATCAATGATAGGTGAGTCTGATTTGCTTGCTGGACCCAGCATTGTATTGCGTTTTTCCCGTGCCTGCGTGAGAGAGGAGAGTCACGGGCGAACGCCCGGTAAAAACCTAGCGCTTCCCCACCCACGCCCCCACGCGACCCTCCCTCCTCCTCCTCGATCTCCCTCCAAGCCGCCGTCGCCGCCTCTCCCCATCTTCATCCTCTCTCTCCTGCGCCACCGCTGTCTCTCCTCTTCCTCCCCACTCTAGCCCCTCCAGGTCATTGCTCGCGGTGGTTCTAGATTCAGCGCTGGTCGTCCCCATGGGTGAGGAGGGGAAGCGGGGTCTTCAAGGTTGGTGGAGGTGCAGGGGAGACCGGCGGCGTGGGGACGACCAGCGAGCCAGGAGCTAGGGAGAGGCCAACGGCGAGCAGCAGCCAAAGAAAAGAAAAAGGAGAAGCGAGCGGGCAGCAGCGAGACCTAGCCGGTTTCTCCCCGCCGCCGCCTCCTCTCCTGCCGCCGCCGCCGCCGCCTCTCCTTTCTCGCCCTCACCGGCCACCGGCCACCTCCCACCCCTCCTTCTCCGCCTCGTCGCCCTGGCCACCTTGTGCTCGAGCCGAGGGGCGACTAGGCAGGACGAGGGGAGCAGGGCAGCAGCCAGCCACGCCTCGTCCATGCCGTGTGGTGGCCCAGATGCGTCCGCCCCGTGCTCTGTAGGCGCCCGTCGGCCTCAATCCGGCCTTTGCAGGAGGAGCTCGAGCCGAGGAGCGCGGCCTCGATCCGGAATCGGCAGGAGGAGGGGAGCAGCAGCCGGCACGCCTCGTCGCAAGTGATTCCCTACCTCTTCTGGTTGCACCTCCCCCTGTGAGTTTTTCTTTCCAATCCCTTTCCTCTCTAAATTAATTCACATTTTTAGTGTTCCTGCTGTCTATGGCTGCTGTAGGTATTTTCTTTCTCACCACTTCTCCTCTCCATCTTGGTATAATTTTGTAGTTTAAATTCAAGTAACCAAGAACTTCAGTGAGAGTGTATTTGCCAACTGTCCAAGCGTGCTTCTATACATGGGCGGCGTCACCACGACCAGTTTGACGATTCAAGCCAAGGTGAAAGTATTGTCCTCTCTTTATTTCTTAGTTGTGTGAGATGTAATTTTGTTCATAATTTGTGTGGAGCTTGAAGCACATCAACATGAAATTGGAGATGATTCTTTGTCCATGAGATCTTCCAAAAATAAAAAACAACACAACAAAGTAGTCACAATGAGTTGTACCATATTCTGATATTTCCCCACCTCTTCTGGTTGCACCTCCCCCTGTGAGTTCCTCTTTCCAATCCCTTTCCTCTCTAAATTAATTCACGTTTTTAGTGTTCCTGCTGTCTATGGCTGCTGTAGGTATTTTCTTTCTCACCACTTCTCCTCTCCATCTTGGTACAATTTTGTAGTTTAAATTCAAGTAACCAAGAACTTCAGTGAGTGTATTTGCTTCTTCACAACTGCTGGATGTATCTTAGGGGATGAATGCCATGGATTAATTAGATTCTTGTTAAGCTGGCCACTAATTAAACTGTTCGCCCCTTTGTTAAAGCTAATCATAGTAATATCTGGTGATCGACCGGCTGATGCGTGCGGTGGCAACCACATTCATGATGATGAACTTAATCAAATTTGTAGTTAAGTCGGTGCTAAATCGCACTAGAGATTCCATTGAAAGGTTCCTTTTGCGGATCTGAAAATGGAGGCGTTGAGCGTATCAAAACTCATAAAGGATTATAAGATCGCGAAGATTGATAGGCGGGCAAATAAGGTGGCGCACGAGATTGCAAAATTCAGTTTTGACAGTAGGTCCGATGGCCTCTTATGTAATAGTGTTCCGCCATGTGTAACTGCTTTTGTAATGAACGATTGTAAGAATCTTAATTTACCAAATTAATATATGGGGGTTTTCAATAAAAATAAAAAAATAAATCGCACATTCAGTACGTATTAGGATATGTAGATTTAAAAAGAAATAGGTACAGTCACTACAATAAATATCAGTAGCATGCACTATATATGTATGCAGAACAGATCATAGTCATGATTTTGTATTGCTCGGATCTCGAATCGAGATTCGTATACACTGGTCATTGATTCAGTCTTAAGGGATTACATGAAAATGACTTATAGTAGCCAGTGCTACCACTAATAGTGCAATTGTATATTTTGAGCAAGGAAGCACGTTAACCACTCAGTATTAGAGTAAGATGCTACATGTCGAAGTACCATCTAAAAAGGACAGATATTTACTTTGTGAAAAATCTTGGTAGAAAAATAGTGTAACCTTTTGGCAGTGGATTGCGTATAATACCACGACACTGATATATCTGTCAAAACCTGAGCTACATATAGTAGTTAGTAAATGGATTTTTTTGATGAAAATACTACTGCACAATGATTATGCTAGCAAAGCTTTGTCCTCGGATGAATATGAGATGCATTCTTTGGCCCCTCTAATTTCCATGTGAAGAACGTGATCTTGCGACTTGCTTGTTCATTCTCCCTTTATGCTAAATCTATTTCTTCCAAAAGGCATACTACTCTTCTTGTGCTTCCTTTATGCTCTCTTATCAGATAGTATGTCATTTTTATTTTCCTTATATGTCATATTATAGCTTGTGCAGTCTTTGCCAATCTATAACCGTTATTTCGCAGGTCAAAACAGTTTAAAGGATGATCAGTACAGTGGAGGGGATTGTATGACAGTCCAAGGAAGTCTAGCAGAATGCAGTTTTCTGGGACCAGTTTTTTAACCGTGGACTTTCCGTGGAAGGATACGTACATCTGCCTTATTCGGTGAGATCATAATGATGTGTCATTTCATCCCATTCGCACAACATAAATGCTTATTGTTAGTTATTAACTAACATCAACACGACTCCCCTAGGCGCAAAGGAAAAACGTGCCCATGATAACACTGGATGCGTCCACTTACCTTTCTGCTATGTTTCTTTAATAAGCCCAATTATTTTCAGCTTAAATTTGATAAGTTAGTGTTTCATGATCCAGATAACCAAAACTGGGTCCTCTACCAAGCACCTGTCCAGCCCTGTGCGAGCTACACTTCAATTTGTATTCTCAGGTGAGTTATTTGCTATCGTCGCCACTCAAAATCCTCTTTGTAATTAATTCTTTAAGCGTCAAATTGTGGTTGATTGGTCTGCCTAGATGGTGAAAGAATATATAACTTGTATTTGCCAAACTAGAGAATGATATGAGTACATTATGGATTGTAAATATAGTACTTTCTTCAGTTTACATTGTTGGACTCTGAATTACACACTTAGTCCTGTCAAGTACTTATAGAAATATTCCCTACAATTCGGCTATTTCAGCCTGTATTAACTTTATTCGGTCAGGTTCTCGTCTTACTAAAAAAGTGTATCTACAAATAGGTGAAAAGGAAAAAAATTACAGTAGATCCTGGTTCTATGGTTGGCACCTCTTTAGTTTCAGACTTACTTATGCAATCATTGTCTAAAAAGAAAGATGGTAACAGATAGTAGCGGCTGCTGGAAGAGGAGAGATCGAGGACGGGTCCCTATTCTGTAGGAGACACCAACATAGATGAGCTATTTCTTCCACTTTTCCTCATCTTTCCATGGTGAACTGAGCTCATCCTAATAATTGATGGCTTCCTAATTTTTTTCTTATGCACGTAGTGTTTAGGTCACGGACTCACGGTTGATTCCATCACCGAGTTGCATTGTAGTACAAATGGCCTCTCTTTTCTGATGGTGCTATGGTGTCCCTCTCCAGGTTAGCTACAACCAAGTTGTAGCTTGGTCGGATTTGTTGCATGAGGCAGGAGAAGAATAAGAAAATTTGTCAGATTTTTCGTGTGCAAGTTCGGCAGCGGGCAATGGTCGAGATAGAGTTGGGTGCACATCATATATATAAAAGTACCTCTAATTTAACTCTGTAAGAGCTCCCAAGCAAAAGAAGGACTATCCATCAACATTATTTGTCATATTTCTTTTTATGGAGGCTAAGAACTAGGCTGAAATGCGCAGGTTTCTTAACATTTGCTTGTCTTAATGCAGATATGGAAGATTTAAAAGCCTTTGTGAAAGATTCCGGTTTTGTAGAAGCCAATGATCAGACACACCGTGACCTTACTTCTGGATACAATATTGATGAGGTTAATTCTTTACAAAAGTAGATTTCAGTGTTTTTTGCCGCATTTTGATGGGTTCCTCTTTTGCTTGTTTTCAGAATTGTTGTGACTACATTTCTCCGCATACCATTCATGTTGCAATATGTTTGCTAAATTAAATGTGCTCTACTTGAAAGAAAATAACGCACACCATAATCATATCCCTTGCCAGGCTATGGTTGGCTACATGCTAAGATTTCGTTCCATTATGCTTATATTGCTAGGCTTTTAGTTCATCCTTCTCTTTCCCTAGGTGGCTACTGCCAAGTACATAGACGTCGATTTACTTGCTAGGCCTGATTGGATTTTTCATCTTTTTTACCCGTTATTCCCTTTGGACTTATTGATCTGCGAATTTGCTTTACAACTGATGGTGCCACATTATGTGATACTGAAACTAAACCAAGGTGCGTATTTGGGAAATTGATAATGAAATATTGGACTTCGAATCAACAGAAAAGAGATGCTTTGTGACCAAATATATATCTCTGAAACGTCTGCACAATAATGTTATAGTTTATGTTAGATGGCAAAGTTTCAGATTTTTATTATGACAGCAAGATGCCAACGCAAGGTGCTTGTGCATGAATAAACCATATGAATATGAGATGCACAACTTCCTGTGTAATTCTGAGACTTTTGGGCAAGTCATCTTCATAGGTGTGAAAGAAGATTCTGATTACATATAAGAAAATCATCCAATTTTTTGTTCATCTGCATCCAAGCGGCGATACCACCTGCAAGATATACTCCATTGCTTCTAAGCAGCACATCGGCAGGTCGATTCCTCGGGTGGATTGGATTCTCACCCGCTCCAAGTGAAACTTGAGCGACGGCATGGTATGTTTTCCCAAACGACTGACCTACTTTAATAAAACCACCGCTCATTGTTGCGTATATGGTTCTTACGCTGCACCTGAATAAGCGATTGCTACATCGATGTTTGTTTCCATTTGTTCTGTTTTCCTGGTACTTGAAAGACAATATATGCATGTGTCCTACTTTACTTTGAACGAGCTGAAAGTCCTATTATTCTCAAAGTTTTTATCATCTATCGGTATATGCAGGTATACTAATGGAATATGCACCCGATGACTCTGCCTAATGTTAACTACTATATGTTTTGGTCTTATATAATAGCAGCATTCCTCGGCACCTTGTTGTTTAAGTTCACAAGTTGCGGGTTCAGAAGAAGAGTTGTTGTTTTCTGCTGTAACCGCCTTGTTGTTTTCTTGCAGCAAGGGACTACCAAAGAAGAAGAGATGATGCAGGTTCAGAATCTGACATTATCTGTGTTAGTGCTGGCAGATCCAAAGATGGAAAGAAACAGACAGTTTCACACACTAGCAACAGTAGGATCATCAGCAAAAAGGTAAGTTAGCACAAAGAGAAAAAGTATTACTTACTACTATCTTTTTTACTACTTATTTCTCTTTCTAAACCATATTTGGTCAGCACCTAAATATCCACGAAAGAGGATCACTAAGCTGACGGGGAATACATTATCCATGGTATTATCTTCTAAGATAATACTTGTGGGCTACAGATTGACTGTGTTTGCTTGTCTATTGCAGTTCTTTTATTATAATAAATCCGATATAATGCATATACATGAGATAGTCCTAATACAAAATACGCACATTCTAAGATAGGTACAAAGCCTGTAACATAGAACCTGCATTATAAGCACATCATACTAAAAAAGTTTCTTTTTATTTCTTTTTAATGCATAGATGCGATGACAAATAGGCTTAAAGCAAAAAATAAAATAAAAAAATCCAACCACCGTTTACAGGGCCGGCCAACGTTACTAGGTCAAACACCGTTGATCCACTTGCTCCACCTCTCGTATGACCTTACTGGGTCAAACTTTGGAACAACAGATGATAGGCGTGGTCGATAGACCCATACACATGAGCATAGAATCAACGAGGGATCCAAGAGAGAAATTAGAGCTCATCTTCCTAATAGAGTTGAACACAAACCTGCAGCAGTCCTGTCTCTTGCTGGTGAACAAACACCACACGGACGCCAAGATCCGGCATGTTATGACCGGCCGGACCTACGGCTGTAGGAGGCCCACCGGGCAAGCTTAGCCCGCAAGTTATCTTAGTTTTTATTCCACATCGTGGTTATATGTACAACTTGTAAGACTATTTTGAGATTTAAGCAATAAGAATATTTCTATTGCCCGGCTCCTAGAGGAGCCGGAACCCTAAACCCTAGCCGCCTCCTTCCTTCGCCGCCGCCACACGCGCCAGGACGGCGCCACGCCGCCGGCCGCCACGCTCAAGCCCTCGCCCTCCTCCCTCCTTCCCCTACAGCTTACGGCCAAGACCGGGCAGAACCCTAGCTCCTAACACGGCGCCTCAGCGTCATGCCCTACGTCAGTCAAGATAACACAAAATTTAGCTTCTTAGACAAAGAAAGGTCAATGTACTATTTGCATCATCTAAACGATTTCATTCGACTTTAAATGCCACCTGTATCATCAAAATCAGGCAGAAACATGGTTACCTTCATGTCCACTTCCATAATTTGATTGTGTTAATGCTGCTCCATGAAAGACAAAAATAATTCTTAGTAATGAACAACATCACTTACAACAAAACCAGAACCTTGCTGCTCTGAATCATTTTATTATCTTCTCACGTGATGCATATACGTTTACTCATACTGTCTTCTTTTTCATCAGCATACCGTGATGAAAAAAAATCAGAATCCCAACAAAAGTGCTTTTGGATGCTATGATGCAGCAGCTAGGCCTCCCAAATGCAGTGTACTCAACAGAAGGCAAGAGCAATCGGTCTTGAAGCAACTATTCACTTCTATCTCTCCAAGCATCAACTGGACAACAATTCTTCCAAGACAATCAACCGAAGACCAACTAGCAAACGAAGCTCTCAAGTACATGAAAAGCATCCACGGTAAAGTGTTGTAGGACATAAACTACGACAAGATGCAACTGATCCAGCAACAGTGTGAATCTCTTGAGCATCAGTAGAAAGAAAAACACAACCTAATAGACTATTTTAGCAACAGCTGGTGCCATAGCCTCGGTGGAGATCACATGGCATCAAAGGACCTTTACTGTATAATAGATAGCAACTTCACAGTCGGATCAACATCCAAAGCAATAATCTGAATCATATTTTGTCGCAAGTAAGATATATTGTGGATCGTCTCAGTGATACAGCCACATAATCAGATTATCATCAAACCACATAATCAGATTATCATCAAACAAGTACTATTGGAGCCTGGATGATGATGTTGAAGGAATTTCTGCTATGAACAATGAAAAAATTCAATCGCAGCCACTATGAACAATTGCCTAAACAAATCTTCAGCGTCGATGAAACATCCACCAATCACACTGGCTAATGTCCATCACTTCATAATGCCTATAAGATGTATCTCTGCCTATCTACCTTTCTAATAGCATTGTAAATATTCTATCCTAAGCTTCTTAGGACACTATGTATCATGAATAATCCATGTGTTCCAATTTATCCCTAAATATATTTATGTTCACTTTTTCAATACTTTCCTTGCTCTCGCCCCTTGCGCCATCGGCGCAACGGGTCATCTAGTAATAATAGAACTCGGATGACTACACTTTCTCAAAACAATCATAACATGATATAACAAAATGGCATTTCGCTAGCCCCTTCTGAGACCGCAAAACATAAATGCAGAGCACCTTTAAAGATCAAGGACTGACTAAACATTGTAATTCATGGTAAAAGAGATCCAGTCAAGTCATACCCAATATAAACCAACAATAATGAATGCAAATGACAGTGTGCTCTCCAGCGGGTGCTTTTTAATAAGAAGGGTGATGACTCAACATAAAAGTAAATAGATAGGCCCTTCGCAGAGGGAAGCAGGGATTTGTAGAGGTGCCAGAGCTCGATTTTAAAATAGAGGTTGAATAATATTTTGAGCGGCATACTTTCACTGTCAACGTAACAACTATGAGATGGCTGTATCTTCCATGCTACATGCATTATAGGTAGTTCCGAAAAAGAATGGTAAAGGTTTATACTCCCCCAACCACCAACAAACATCAATCCATGGCTTGCTTAAAACAACGAGTGCCTCCAACTAACAACAGTCCTGGGGGAGTTTTGTTTAATTAATTTGATTTGCTTTCATCTTTTTGGATCATGGGACTGGGCATCCCGGTTACCGGCCCTTTCTCGTGAATGAGGAGCGGAGTCCACTCTTCTTGAGAATAGCCCACATAGCATGGAAGATATAGGCAGCACTAGTCGAAACATGAGCTGCTCGAGCATACAAAACATAATTTCGTTTGAAGGTTTGGAGTTTGGCACATACAAATTTATTTGGAACGGCAGGTAGATACCGCATATAGGAACGTATGATGGACTCATATGGAACAACTTTGGGGTTTAAGAAGTTTGGATGCACAAGCAGTATTTCCGCGTAGTACAGGTGAAGGCTAGCAAAAGACTGGGAAGCGACCAACTGAGAGAGCAACAACGGTCATGAACATGCATTAAAATTAATTTATACCAAGTACAAGCATGAGTAGGATATAATCTACCATGAACATAAATATCATGAAGGCTATGTTGATTTGTTTCAACTACATGCGTGAACATGTGCCAAGTCGAGTCACTCAATTCATTCAAAGGAGGATACCATCCCATCATACCACATCACAATCATTTTAATAGTATGTTGGCACGCAAGGTAAACCATTATAACTCATAGCTAATCAAGCATGGCACAAGCAACTATGATCTCTAAATGTCATTGCAAATATGTTTACTTCATAATAAGCTGAATCGGGAACGATGAACACATCATATTTACAAAAACAAGAGAGGTTGAGTTCACACCAGCTTTTCTCATCTCAATCAGTCCATCATATATTGTCATTATTGCCTTTCACTTGCACGACCGAACGATGTGTATAATAATAATAGTGCACGTGCATTGGACTAAGCTGGAATCTGTAAGCATTCAACTCAAGAGAGAAGACAAAATAATATGGGCTCTAAGTTAAATCAACAATCATGCATATGAGAGCCACTAAACGTTTTCAATATGGTCTTCTACTCTCGACCCCCAAAGGAAAGAAAAGAAAATAAAACTATTTACACGGGAAAGCTCCCAACAAGCAAGAAGTAGAACAAGAAATCTTTTTGGGTTTTCATTTTAATTTCTACTACTAGCATGGAAATTAAACTAACTAATTTTTTTGGTTTTTCTTATGGTTTATCAAACACACAAGAAGAAAGCTAGAAAAAAAAATTAAACTAGCATGGATAATACAATGAAAGAGTATGAGCACTGTCGCGACCGGTTTTCCAGGATATTAACTTCCCAGAAAATGTCCCTTCTGCTCATCGGCCCCATGATTACTGTTAGCTGATGAGACACCAACTTGATACAGAAACTCCAAGCAAAATACATAATATGTAGTACAAGACCATTCTGGCCTATGAGTACAACACAAGGTTTCTAGTGGCTGATGGCGGAAGCGGTTTGTGGTTCATCAGTGTCTATGGGACTCCACTTCCCACAGGAACAGCTGACCTGGATAACTCCTATCTTCGCGAGGCTGCTATCGTCATTGCATAGGTTCCGGGGCTGTCATCGCAACGCTCCTCTCCATGCAAGAAATCAGGCCAAGACAATAGCCAGGGACAAGCCAGTGAGTACTTTTGAATGTACTCGCAAAAGACTGGGAAGCGACCAACTGAGAGAGTGACAACAATCATGAACATGCATTAAAATTAATTCACACCAAATACAAGCATGAGTAGGATATAATCTACCATGAACATAAATATCATGAAGTCTATATTGATTTGTTTCAACTACATGCGTGAACATGTGCCAAGCCGAGTCACTCAATTCATTCAAAGGAGGATACCATCCCATCATACCACATCATAATCATTCTAATAGCATGTTGGCACGCAAGGTAAACCATTATAACTCATAGCTAACCAAGCATGGCACAAGCAACTATAATCTCTAAATGTCATTGCAAATATGTTTACCTCATAATAAGCTGAATCAGAAACGATGAACTCATCATATTTAAAAAAACAAGAGAGGTCGAGTTCATACCAACTTTTCTCATCTCAATAAGTCCATCATATATCGTCATTATTGCCTTTCACTTGCACGACCGAACGATGTGTATAATAATTATAGTGCATGTGCATTGGACCAAGCTGGAATCTGCGAGCATTCAACTCAAGAGAGAAGACAAGTAATATGGGCTCTAAGTTAAATAAACAATCATGCATATGAGAGCCACTAAACATTTTCAATATGGTCTTCTACTCTCGGCCCCCAAAGAAAAGAAAAGAAAAGAAAACTATTTACACGGGAAAGCTGCCAACAAGTAAGAAGAAGAACGATAAATCTTTTTGGGTTTTTCATTTTAATTCTACTACAAGCATGGAAATTAAACTAACTAATTTTTGGTTTTTCTTAAGGTTTATCAAACACACAAGAAGAAAACTAGAAAAAGAAAATTAAACTAGCATGGATAATACAATGAAAGAGTATGAGCACGACAACTAGAATAGTGTGTGAACATGAATGTAAAGTCGGCGAGAAATACGTACTCCCCCAAGCTTAGGCTTTTAGCCTAAGTTGGTCTAATACCAAGGACCGCCTGGCTGATATCCGTAGTTGTAGCTGGAGTCGTACTGAGATGTAGCGGCAACCGCCTCCTGAGCTGCGGTGTGTTGGCGAGCTGCCTCCGCTCTCCCCTCGTGTTCAGCTGCTTCCTCCCTGGTGACAACATATCTTCCTTTTGCCTGATAATCAAAAAGGTAGGGAGCAGGAAGAGTAACATGCACGACGTTGCGTCTGTTATAGATTAGTCGATAATGGAGGAATTGTTCATTCCTC